TACTGAGCTGAGGTTGGGAATTTTCCTGTGCCTTTTGCCTTCAAATAGCTGCTGTTTTCCCTGTTTACCTGCCTCATTTTACATGCAGCACTTCAGAACCTTTTAGTGCCTGGAGTGCTGTGGCCTGACAGAGGGGATTTGAGTGACCACCATGTTGAGATGCTGCATCAGTGCTGTTTAACTGGGGTCCCATCCCCTGCGGAGCCATATCCGTGGATTCTCCTGCCCCTGAGTTCACCTGTCAGAGCAGCATTAGCCCCCAGAACAGCTGGCCATGATGTTCTGTTCAGGAGCCCTTGCTCAGTATACTCAGCTTGTCCTTCCTGAGCACTGATCTCCCTGCTGCCTGGGAGATGAGCGTAGGACTTGAGCTTTTTCTCTGTCTGTCTAGTGTGCACATGAAAATAGAGGAGAAAATCTCCTTGACTTGCGGCCGTGATGGAGGATTGCAGAACATGGAGCTGCATGGCATGATCATGCTGCACATCTCCGATGAAAAGTTTGCACGGATTCGTCTTCATGTAGAAAATGAAGACAAGAGGGGAGTGCAGCTGCAGGTAAAGTCTATCTGGCGTCCCATGCTGTTGAACGTGCTTTTGTTGCTTTCCAGGGGAAAAAAACCTGGAATACTTGAGCATGTTACTGTCCTATATTCTCATCCAAGCTTTCTCAGCAAATGTATTGGAAATGGGAGTACTCGGTGCAGGGCTAGTCATGCTCCAAGGATTGAAGTTCACTGGAGAAATGCGGTCTTGGTGCTTGCCATACTGCTGTTGGAACCTTATCTGCCCAGCAGTGCACATCGGCATGCTGGGTGACCTCACTTGGACTTTGCCGCAGCCTAGTGTGTTGCTTGGTGCCTGTTGGTGTGATGTCAGTTGCAGCTGTGGACTGGGAGTGGGTGAACAAACTTCTGTACCAATGGGGAACGAATTTATTCTCTCTGGAGCTGTTTCTTCCTGGGGTCACTTGTCCTGTCACTGCTGTCCCTGGGATGTTTGCTGGAGCATTTGATCACAATCGGCAGTAGCAGCTCAAAGGTTCTTGGGAGATTTGTCCTTCCCTTTTTCTGTGTGGCGATATTGATCCCTGGAGGTGGTACTGCTTTGACACACTCTGGCTCACCCCTCACCAGGGACTTGTCTGTACATCACTGACTGCAAATCCACTTCCAGCACATCCCATGGGCAAGTTTCTAACAGTGCTCCCCTGGGCATTGCTTTGAGTGGAAGATGAGGCCAAACCCTGTGCTGGCTCCTGCTTTTCTAGTGGAACTTAACAGTGATTTGCAGAAATCCTCTGCTTCCAAAAAGCTGCTCTTGCTCCCAGTCGTGAAAGTGTGTTTAAATGAAGTTTGGCTGCTGACACGTATGTGCGTTAAGGTTGCTGAGGGAGGTTGTAGTGTTGTGGTTTCATGCTGTTTTTCCCAGCAGCATTAGGTTGATTTTTTTCTTCAAGAGAAACACGTACTGTGGATCTTCAGTATGGTCTTTAGGATTTGAGGAGTTAGGTTGTTCTGTAAGTATCAGCCCAGGACATGCATTGCTAGAGTCTCTGGCGCAGTGACTTGTAAGAATGGCAGTGGTGTGGATCCTTCTTGTCAGATCAGCATTTCCTGGAAGGAATCCCAAGTTGATAAGCAGGTGTGCTCCAGATGGACTTCTGAGCCAGGAGCAAGCCTGATGTGTGTTTTGCAAAGAAAAACACTCTGTGTAGGCCTGTCCTGGTAGAACCTGCATCACCTACAGTTTTGTCCTTGGGCTTACCTACAGCCTGGACATGTGTTCTTCTTTCAGACTCACCCAAATGTGGACAAGAAGCTCTTCACTACAGAGTCACAGATTGGTTTGAAAAACCCAGAGAAGTCATTCCCTATTAACAGCGATGTGGGCGTGCTGAAGTGGAGGTTGCAGACCACAGAAGAGTCTTTCATTCCGTTGACAAGTGAGTGCGGGTCTGGGAGCTAGGGTGAAAGAGGCTGATGTTTGTGGGCTGCTGGTTTGTATCCACCTTGTGGCAGCTGGGCTGCCTGGAGCATGCACAGTGTGAGGCGTTGGAGATCCTGTGTGTATCCAGTGGATAGTACCTGCCCTCAGCAGTGTGCATTTTTTGAAATGCTCTCAAAAAAACTAGCTTTTCTTAAAGTCAGAATTTCTTGGGGATGACTTCGCTGGGCATTTCAAAGTAAAAGCCTGCTCCATGTGGAAGGCCTGTGTGGTTCACACACTGTCTCTGTGCCCTTAGTTAACTGCTGGCCCTCAGAAAGCGGGAACAGTTGTGATGTTAACATTGAATATGAGTTGCAAGAGGAGAGCCTAGAGCTGAACGATGTGATCATCACCATCCCCTTGCCGTAAGTAACATTCCTTATCCGGGCAGCACTAAAGAGTCTACCTCCTTCTCCTCGCTGGTTCATGGGTCTGGTCAAGCTGACAGGTATTACAGGCAGTTTCTTAGCTCTGTGCAGGGAAGTTATTTTCACTTCTTGTTGCCTGCTCTAGGTCTGGTGTCGGCGCCCCAGTGATTGGGGAGATTGATGGCGAGTATCGCCACGACAGCCGGAGAAACCTCCTTGAGTGGTGCCTGCCAGTGATAGATGCCAAAAACAAGAGTGGCAGCCTGGAGTTCAGCATAGCAGGGCAGCCAAACGACTTCTTCCCGGTGCAAGTCGCCTTCGTTTCCAAAAAGAACTATTGTAACATACAGGTATGGTCACTGCTGGAGCTCCACGAGCGTGAAGTCACTCTTACCTCGGTCCCTGTCTGACTTACACTGGCCGTGCTGCAGCGAAGCCTTGCTGTCCCACTGGCCATGGCTGAGGGGTTGACATTAACTTGCTACTGAGATAGCTGGATTTGGGAGTGCCAGCAGACAGCATATGCAGCTGACACCTCCCAGAGCTTGCCTGCAGTTTCAGTTGTGTCTTCGTTCCTCTGAGTAATCATTACATCCCCTCAGACTTCATTAGAGAATCCATCGGCCTTGGAGCCAAAACACTGCTCGGCATATGACTGTCTGCCCCCACTGAAGTGTAGCCAGCAGCTGCCATTTCACTCCTCAGTGGAAACACAGTTACCATAGAAAATCACTCCCCTCTTTCAGGTTTCCTGGGAACAAAGATCTTTGTTTCAGGGCTGAGTTGTGGTTCAAAGGCACCGGGTCATTCTGCCCTCATGACCGTTCTGCTGTTGGGAAGCGCAGCATCACTGTGGTGGGGAGAGGGGTTTGATGCTGAGCTAACACTGCCTGTTGTCTCCACAGGTTACCAAAGTGACCCAGGTAGACGGGAACAGCCCTGTAAGGTTTTCCACTGAAACCACCTTCCTGGTGGACAAGTACGAAATCCTGTAATGCTAGACGTGGGAAAGTGCAAAGGAAGAAATTTTTTAAATTAAAACAAAAAAAGAGACCGACGTTTATTCTGAATGTTGGGAATGCCGCAGCCCCCTCTGCTAGGACGTGTGGCTCTGTCTGCCATCTGCAGCGTTCCTGAGTCACAGACACTTTTGGCAGAGAATTGACATGCTCGTGAGGGGAAAGGCCACAGATTTCTTTGGCAGATTTTTACGGGCCGGCAGAAAAGCAAGATCTCCGCAGAGAGCCTGACTTTGATGTGTTCCTTCCTCCCCTGGCGACACCCGGCGCTCAGCCCCAGAGCCGATCAGACATCGTTCTCTACCCTCTCAAAGCGTCACATGCTGTTCCATTGTTGGTGCTTACATTTTGATTTCTCCTCGTCCTCCAGCTCTCGTTTCCATTGAGGAAAGCAGGCACTAAGAGAACGTGTGTGGGGTTGCCTGCTGCTGCTCTAGACCCTTCCGTCTGGTGGAAGCTGAGCAAGTTGCCCTTGGCCTCAGAGGTGGGGGGATCATGGCAAGGGCACTGAGTGGGTAAGAGGGGCCAGGGTGCCCCACACGGTTACTGCTGTTCCTCCAGCCCTGCTGTGCTGCGATGGCTCAGCTCCAGGTGCTCTGGCCCCTGCTACAGGGGGGAGAGCTTCCATAGGGCACTGTGTCCTCGCTGTCTGCCACAGCTGCTCTTGGGTCAGGTTTTGGAGGAGGTTTAGTTAGGTTAGAACCAGCTTCTTGTCCTTTGCAAGGCCTTTTTTGGCGTCTGGGGAGGCAAAACGCTTTTCCTGCCTGGGTGAAAGGAGCTGAGCCTGGGTAACTGCTTGCTTGTTAGAACCTGTCCCAAACCAGTGTTTGTTCAGCGCTGGTAGGTGGAGGAGAAGGAAATGCTGGTTTCCAGGAAAGATGGGGGGCTGATCTGAGCCGTTCCTCCCCCCCCTGCCTCACCAGCATTATTTGCCTCTTCTCACAGACCTGTGCTCCCGTCACAACTCATCTCACCTGTGTGGCTGGGACCTGTCACAAGCATCACCTGCCCCTGGGCACACCTCACCTCTGGCCAGAGGGCCTGTGTGTGCATGTGGAAGGCAAAGGCCCTAAAAGTGTATGTACTGTGCTCTGTGAGAGACAGCCAGCCTGTCATGGGCCCCTGGGGTCCTCTGCCAAAGAAGTCCGTGGTCTCTCCTCTGGTGGCAGCACCTGAGAGAGAACTCAACCCTGATCCTGTCCAGGGAGGGCAAACCCTCCTCCCTAGCAAAGTAGGCAATGAATCGCTAGTAACCCGGTCCTGTTCCAGAGCTGCTTCTCTGTATGATTTTTAAAATGGAGTTGAGGTTAGTTCAAGCATCCAAGGAGCTTTTTTTTTTTCTTACATTTGTTGGAGGGTGATATTTAAACCAAGCTGAGATCTCCCCTTTTTGTAACCCCATATGATCCTGGCCTAGGGAATAGAGCACATTCCATTGTACACAGAGAATACTGAATCTTTAATCAAATAAAGTACTGTCAAAGGAGCTGGCTGGGGGTCGTGAGGTCCTTCCGGAGCCGGGGCTGCTCAGCCCAGGCCTCGCGGGGGCGGGACGGGGCCGGCACCGGGCGGGGCGGGGATACGGCCGTGGCAGGCGGTGGCGGACAGCGAAGCGGCGGCAGAGGCAGAGGCCGGGAGGGGCTGCCGGTCCAGAGGAGTGAAGGTGAGCAATTGCCAGGATGAGGTGGGACCCTCCCCTACGCGTGGCCCAGACGGCCCCTGCCTTTGGGAGCCTGTGAGGTTGGTTTCAGTGTGTGCTGCCCTGAGGGGACCTTCCCAGTGCTTGGGGGACAGCTTTGCGACATGGTGGGGGTGAGGGGAAGGGGCTTGGCTGCCTTGGCCCCTGTCAGGGCCAGGTGTGGGACTTGTTTGAGGTCCCTACCCCCCGGGGCACTCTGGGAGGGGTGCAAGGAAGGAACTGCAGGCAGTGAAGTTGGAAAGACCCTGTTAGCCGTACAGCTGGTCAGTGCACAATGCTTTAGGGGTGTGTGGGTGGACTGGGAGCCAGGTCTGGGTCTGGTGGTCCACATCAATGGTGAGTTTGGTGGTGTGGGAGCCCCCAGAGCAATATGGTCTCTGTGGGAGGCTGGGCAAGGCTCTCCCATCCAAATCCTGCTGCAGCTGAAGGGCAGTTGGAGGGGGAGACTGTGCTTGGCCTGAGGCCACCTCTGCTGTCCCTGAATCCTCTTGGGGAGCCTGGGAACAGTGCTGGCCTGGCCGGACCCTGCTCCATGGCTGGACCTTGTTTACTCCAGCTTCCTGCCACGTTCCTGCCACAGCCCCTTCAGCTGCTGCCCGAAAGCCAGAGGAATTTGGCAGCCCCAGAAGGTCCAGCTGCTATGCCGAAGGGCCGCCCTCTCCCCCATTCCTCCAGCTGCCCTGCAAGCTGCCAGCCCTCTCTGGGCACCAGGCGCAGGCTGCAGGGGGGCAGGTCCCCTGGCCAGGCACCACAGGCAGCTCAGACATGAGGCAGCTGCAGGGCAGCACTGCTGGGTGCTCTTTTGGTAATTCCTTGTATGTTTGGGTTTTACTCTGTGGTGCTATGTGTTGGTATGTGGGGGGCAGCAGGGCAGGGCCCCGTGCAGGGGGATGAAGCCACAGGATTGCACAGCAAGGAATCCTTGCTGTCAGCCAGACACCAGAAAGAGGAATCCTTGCTGTTTTGGAGAGGGGATGCCTGTTTTGGAGAGGGGATGTTCCCCTCTCCCAGCAAACACAGGGCTGGGTGATGAGTTCATGCCAAGGGCTGAATTCAAGACCCACCAAACCTATCCTATGCTATTGTCTGTGAGATGTTATTAGTGGGAGTCACAGATGCTCCTCACTGACCTGAGTCTCTGGCCTGCAGTTGAGAAGTCATCATTGGACACAAGAGCGTTTTTAGAAGCAGCTTTCCACTGTGAAGCTTTGAGGGGTCTGGAGCTCATGATGGAGGTTTCCCTGTCTGTGTTGCCGTGCCTGGAGGCACATGGTGATGCTGGGGTCGGTGCTTGAGCTGCAACAGTGGTTGGGACTGTATATGGTGTCACCAGCCTTTGGAGCTGGCTCACCTGGGGGAGCGTTGGGTGCAGGAAAGCAGGGCTGTATGCCCTCCCTGACCTGAGTACATGGTGGGCAACTCCTAGTCTGTAGGGAGCCCGAGGTGTGATGCTGGCAGGGCCTCTACAGGAGCACAGCTGTGCTGCAGTGGTGTGGGAGCACTTCCCGGGAGCGGTGAAATCAGCGGGTGTGGCCGGGATTCCTCGGCTCCCGCTGGAGCTGCCTGGCGGCTGATTTACAGTGGTGTTATTGCCAGGATCGTGGCGTTGTCCTAGCAACCGCAGTGGAGCCCCCACCGCCCCTTCCCTGGGTGGGATGGGGCCGGCTGGGTCTCCTCTGCTCGCTGTGGGTCAGCCTCAGACCTGGAGGTAGCGACCAGGAGCAGGCTCCTCACTCCCCTCTGGCTTTGTGCTGGAGACAGGCTCCCCCTTCCCAGCTGCCGCCGAAAGGGCTGGTTGTTTACCGGGGCAGAGGGTGTGGGAAGGGGTGAGCGCGCTCTAAGTGCGGTAGCAGATGGGGAAGCAAGCAGGCGGCCAAGTTGGCCGGAGGCTGCGATGCTCTGCTGTGTGCACCAGTAAGCTCGGCCACTCCAGCTTCCTCCCGTGACTCACCCGGCCACGAGTGGGGAGGAGAGGCCACGGCAAGGAGTGCCATGTGCCTGTCTCTTCCATGCTGCATCCCCAGCATGGCTGACACCGCACGGCAGGGTCTACCAGGCTGTGCTCCCTCGCGAGTGTGCCCTGGCCAGCAGCACACGATGCAGCTCTGGGGTCTGCCTGCCTGCTGCTGACAGCTGGCCGTACTGGTGGGGGGTGAGGCAGAGCGTGCTGTGCCCAGGTTGTGGGTCTGGGGAGTCAGCAGTAGGTCGGGAGGAGTGGACTCCGGAGCACCCCCTGCCCGTGTGGGCTCGGGGCAGACAGGCAGGTCGCAGCCTGTGGGCAGTGGGGTGCAGGGGCTCGCCGGGAGCGCGGTGGGGCAGCGTGTCTGTGTGCAGCCCGCCCTGCGTTGGCAGGGCCCCCGCATCGGAGGGGCTAGGCGTCCTCCCAGGTGAGGCTTCTGGCTGCGCCGGGAGGAAGAAAGGGGCTTTTGTCCTCCAGGAGGCTGAGGCTGAGTGGGCAGCCCTGCGCGCGGGGTGCACGGGGACCGTGGGCTGTTTGGCGGTAACCGAGCCCGACCCCTTGGCATTTGCTGCCTTCACCGCTTCCCACGGCGGGAACAAGCAGCGCGTTCTGCAGGCGGCAGTGGGAGAAGAAAGGCTGCCTTGTCCATCCCAGCAGTGGGGCGCCGGCTGGGGCGGCCGCGCTCCCGCTCCGCATTCCTACGGCAGAGCCGCCTGGAGAGGGGCTGCATCCCCAGCGGGACTGGCTGGGAGGAACGGCAGGCGTCCCTTGCGTGGTGAGGAGCCAGTTGAGGGGCTCTGATGGAAGGCAGTGCTGGGGGACAGGGTGCATCGGGTAGAGGTAGGATTCCAGAGTCACCCTCCAGCTCATGGGGAGGCAAGCCTGCTTGCGGAGTGGGGGGTGTTGGGTGGAGAGTTTGGGCAGCAGGAGGTGGGCAGATGATTGCCCAGGGGATGGGGGTCCACCATAGTTTTCACCTGGTCTCACCAGTACAGCTGTGCTAGGAAGGGGTTAACATCGGAGCAGGATCCCACCCTGGCCCCACTCCCTTCCCATGTAGCAGCCTGGCCCCTCCTGGCTTTTCCTCCTTTCCAGACATTGTGAAGGGCCTGGGTGCAAGCAAGGGGTAGGGGCTCAGCTGGGCTGCAGGGTCTCCAGATGCTAGGAAATGCAGCATCCCAGTGCCTGGGGGACATTGGCACCCTGCCTTGGAGGGTCCCACTCGGCTCCAGGACCAGGTGGCAGGTAAGGAAAAGCAGCTGGTGGGCACTGGTGAACTGCTCTTGGGGTACTGCATCTCTGCTTCCCCCTGTCCCAGCTCAGCTGTCCCCATTCTGCGTGGGGTGGCTGTGGTCCCCAAGGAGACCTTGCTGTGGGGCAGCCAACTCTGGTGTCACAGGAGACACTTGGGCTTCATCCCAGCCTTGGATCCCACGCCTGGTGTTTTCCAGCATTTCATTTTTTCCACAGTGTGTAACAGCCACTCACTCGCCCCCGCAGCTGAGCCCAGTGCTGACCGAGTTGCGGGGGTCCCTCCGGGGGCTGGTGGAACAGCAGGCAATGCTGCCAGGGGCTGAGCCTGGGTCTCCTCCTGGTGGCCCCTGCAGCAGGATCCCTAACAGGGAGAGGACTCCCTGGTTAGGCTGCACGGGAAGGGTTAAGCTGCACTTGGCCAGTCCTGGGCGGAAGGGAGGGACATGGGGAACAGCCGAGGGTAAATTTAGTAACCCTGGAGCATCCCGACATGGCGTGAGCGCCGGGTGACGGAAATCGTTCCTTCCCAAGCTGCCTCCCACCCACGCAGAGAATGAGTGGCAGCATAGCTGCTCCATGGGCAGCCAGCCCCACTAGCCGTGGGCCTGTGTGCCACCTCAGCAGGGACATGGCACAGTCAGCCGAGCTTGTGCACCCTGAGCTGCTGCTGCTGCGGGGCTGTGTGGGAGCAGAGGTGTGTGCCTGGGTGCTGGGGAGGGGCACCGGTGACACACTTGGCGGTACCAGGGTTGTGCCATGTGTGGCAGGCAGGTATTGCTGGGGACAACCAGATCCTGTGCTTGTGTGTCTTTGTCCACTGGTAGCCTTTGAGGGTCTGGTTGCCCACCACTCTTGATGTTTAGGGTCAAGGCCTCCCCGAAACTGAGCACATATGCTGTCTCCTTCTAGTACCATGTCTGTCCTGACAGCTGGCATGTATGTGGGTTTCCCTGGTCAGATGGGGATGTGTGCCTTGCCAGGCAGGGATGCTTGCTGACTTCAGGCAGCTGCTGACACGGTGGAGATGGGAGCTCAGGATGGGCATCCTGTTGGTGGCAAATGCTGGTTTGGAATGGGTAGGGTTTATGCTCAGGCTGTCGTCTGTGATGTGCAGGAGGAATACATAAAGGCCATGCCCATTGTGGTCACTTGTGCTGCCATTCTCTATTTGTTTTGGCAGCAGCCTGTGTCCAGAAGCATCCGATATCTCCAGGCGAGCAACATGGAGGCATCTGGCAGGACCCCCACCAGCCCAACCCACAGAGTCCAGAATGTCATCCAGGTGAGCACACAGGACCACAGGGGGATCTGGCTGGGAGCCCTTCTCCTCCACAGCCAGCCCTACCAAGGGTGCTGTCCTCCAGCCTCTCCTCACCCCCAATCCTGTTATGGGATCGTCAGCAAAGCCCATTGAGCTAAGCAGCTGGTAGCTCAGATCCTCTTAGATGCAGCCCAAGCCCCAGAGATCTCCTGCTCCCAGGGCAGCTCACCTCTGCTCCCCAAGGTGGATAGCACAGGCAGGAGAGAGCCCTTATCTCCTGTGCCTTGCTGGTGGATGGTCCTGCTGCCGTGTGGCTGTGCCTGGGCATTGACCCCACTTGTGCATGTGGCTCTTCTGGAGCAGACCAGTCCACTGAGCTGTGCAGGGGAGTGAGTTGCATCCATGGGAGCTGTGAGCATCCTTCCCTCTCCTGCAGAACAGCCCTCTGGACCTGATTGACACGGGCAAGGGGCTGAAAGTGCAGACGGAAAAGCCTCATTTGGTGAGCCTGGGCAGCGGCCGGCTCAGCACTGCCATCACACTCCTACCCCTGGAGGAAGGTGAGTGATGGCTGCCCAGTGGTCCCTGAAGGCACGCTGGTGGCAGGGACACTGAGCTGTCCTCTCTGCTGGCAGGAAAGACCACCATTGGCACGGCCATGACAGACATTGTCCTGCAAGGCCCCGGGCTGGTGCCTCAGCACTGCTACATCGAGAACGTGCAGGGGACGCTCACCCTGCACCCCTGTGGCAACATCTGCGCCATCGATGGTGTGACTGTCCGGCGGCCCACACGCCTCACCCAAGGTAGGAATGGATGGGGTTCACCTGGGAAGTTGTACCATCAGGTATCAGGCTGTTGGCAGAACCATCCTGTAATTGCATATTCCAGCTGGGATGCTCCTGCCTCTGTACCCTGGGCTGGCATGTTTAAGAACAGTTAGAGAACCGGCTTTGCCAAGTGCAGCAAGTGAGGTGGGGAGGGAGAGAGCCGGGCGGGCTTTGGAGAACAAGGGGAGATGCTAAGCCGGGTTTTGAAAGGGAGATGACAAAGGAAAACACCTCAGGTATCCTCCCGAGGGATGGCTGCCGGGACACGCCGGTCTGCCTGAGCGGCTGGAGGGCTTGGACCCTGCCGGTCCCCCATGGCCGCTCCTGGGGAGCATGGGCAGAGTCAAGGGCCCCTTCCCCCGCCATCCGGTCCCCGAACGTCCCGTATCCCGCTTTCTGGGAATGAGTCTCCGCCGGGTCGGGCCGGGCCGGGCGGGGCGGGGCGAGGCCCGGCCCCCCGCCCCTCCCCGAGGGCGGTGCGGCGCTGCCCGGGCGGCGGCGGCGGCGGCCGCGGCGGTGGTGGTGGTACGGTGAGTGGGGTTCTGCGGGGCCACGCGTGTCCGCGCTTGGCGGGGGGATTCGCTCCCGTCCCTCCGCGGGTGACAAAGCTCCGGTGCCCCCCGCGGGCGGCAGCGTTGCAACCCCCCCCGCCTGTCTCCGTCCCTCCACGGGGAGGGGGGAGCCGCCCGCGTGGGCGCTACCGCGGGCGTCCCCGCGGGGGACAATGGAGCCACGTGGCCGCCGGAGAAGGGGCGCGACGGCTCCGGCGCGACGGTCCTGCCAGGTCCCGCCGGTCCCATGGTGGGTAACGAGGGCCAGGTGGGCTGTGGGGTGCGGGCAGGGGTCAGCCGAGTCCCCCGTTCTACTGCCCACGGGGGCCTGTGGAGGCAGGCAGGGTTACGGCGGGGAAGGGAGGGCACCTGTGCCCAGCCACAGCTGGACGAGCCGTGGGGCTGCCAGGCCGGCGCTCGGGGTGCGGGTTGGGGTACCCTGCTTTGCCGGCGCGACGCGTGGTTCCACTGGTGCTGGCACGCGGGGAAGGGGCAGGGCAGTGATGCCTCTCGACAGAAGAGCCGCTGACGGGCCGGGCGCCGGCACTGCCACCTGGCAGGCAGGATGCCCTCGCTGAGCCGGGGTGAACAGGACTCGTCCCGCGCTGGTACTTGGACAGGGGAACCAGGCCCCCGCGGCGGCGATGGCGGTTAATCTGTATGGCCTCTCACTCGCCTTGCTGCGAGCCTGGGCTGACGGGTGCTCCAAAAACACATACCCTCCGGCGAGGGATTTTCAGCTCTGGCTGTTGGTGCGGAGCGAGCCTCTCCCCGGGGGCCCTGGCAGGCGCTTCAAAGCAGGGTGTGTCGGCAGCACCGAGCCTCTCAGCCGCCCACTGCTCCCCGCTGCCAGCACGTGGCTTCCTGGCATCACAGGCAGTGGGTGAACGGGCAGTGGGCAGCCCACGGCGCTGCACCCTGAGCTGCCTTCCTCTGAAGGGCCACTCGGCAGCCTTGCCCCAAAAGGGCTGCCACTTTGGGCCAAGAAGAAGCGCTTTGCGGGCAGTGACAGGAGCTATCTTGTCTGCAGCTGGCAGACGCGCAGGCCCTGGAGTGCCGCCAACTCCCCCTCGGCCCCCGGCAGGGACCCCAGCTGTGCCTGCGCCTGCGACGCACTGCCGGCAGCTGCCGGGGAGTGACCTGGATTTCAGCCTTCCCCTAAGCCTCTGCTGACAACAGGAGCCTGCTCCCCTCCCGGGGGTGCATCTTAGGGCCAGCAGCGCCCTGCTGCCTCCCTGTGCTGGCTCCTATCTCCCCTCTCTCCGGCGTCGCTCTGATACTGCCAGCCAGCAGCTGACGCCTCTCCTGTCTCCCAAGGGTGCACCATCTGCCTGGGCCAGGCCACTTTCCTCCGCTTCAACCACCCTGCCGAGGCCAAGTGGATGAAGAGCATGATCCCGGCGGGGGGCAGGAGCCCAGCGGCTTTCTACGGGCTGCCAGCAAGTAGGTAAACCCCCTTGACCCAGGCAGGGTGAGGCAGATGCTGAGGTGCTCCCTGACCTGCACCATAAGCCTTCCTGGTGCGTGATGCTCTCCCAGCCCTGTCCTGCTGGACTCCCAGCCCTCCCACTTGGCAGTGGGGCTCATACCTGGCTGCGGATGTGCCGTCCATCGTCTCAGCATGGTACGGCAGCTGCACTGATGTTTGTTAATGATTAATATAATTTCAAAGAACGTGTCTGCGCGGGCATTGAGGCAAAGCTCTTGCCCCTGCCCAGCCTGGCCATGGCAGAGCCATCACCCATCGGAGCCCCCCTGGCTGCCTGGAGCAAGTGTTTACATGCCAGGGCGGATGTGCCAGGGCTTCGAAGGCCATTTCACTGACTACTGTCCTTCATCTTGCGAGCTGCTTATCTTGCTGTGTCTGCCTGTCTGTGGGGCAATGGGTTGAGTGCCAGAGCTGTGCCTGGTTCTTGGGGATGTCCAAATCCCAGGCAGTGATTCCTAGACTGGTAGCCTTTCTCCCTGCCCTGACCAGCACGCCCTGGCACGGGGAGAGGAGCTTGGCAGCCTCCCCATGCCACGTGTGTGTTGGGAAGGCAGCACACCCACAGCTGGGGGACGGGAGGAGGGACGTGGGGAAGTGCTGAGGCTGAGGAGCATCATACAACTGCAGAGCATCCTGTGACTGCACAGCATCTGGTGCAGGCCATGCGTGGTCCCTCTCTCCCACACGGGACTGGATGGGATCACACAGATAGGGCTGTGGCACATCTCTCCAGGAGTGGAGGCACTGCCAGCTGCTGTGGGGGAGCTGCTGGGTGCCAGGGGGTGACGCAGCCTGGGTGGCATGCTGTCCTGTCTGGGCTCCGCGCCTGCCATGATTCGCTCGTCCCCTGAGTGACAGGCACATCGGTGCTGCGCAGGGAGGACAGGGCAGCCCAGGCAGGGGCACCCTGCCCAGGGGCACAGGCAGACTGCGGGCAACATGGCAGTGGGTCCGGACACACTGCAGGTCAGCAACTTTTGGCTGTTGCATCTCTGACCCCTTGCTGGGGAGCTGGAATGTGCCAGGGGCAAGTGGTGGGTGCCAGTGGCTGGCGCAGGCAGCTACCTTCCAGGGACTGGGGCCGGGAGCTGCGACACGGGGATGTTAGAGTGGGTGGCTGGGCTGTGGTCTCAGGTTTCTGTCTCCTGGGTGATGGGCCAGCGGGATTCCAGCCTCCTCCCTGGCCCTGGTTCCCCAGCCAGAGTGAGAAAGGGTGGAAGTGGGGGTGCAGGCAGCTTGAGGTGCAAAGAAGAGGGGCTGCGACCCAGTTCTGGCTCTGTAAGGCTGCATGGAGGAACAATGCCGGGTTGACCTGTGGGACCCCAGCCCAGGCAGGGGCCATGGCGGGGGTCACACCACACTGACTGCCTGCTCCTGTGTCTCCCCGCAGAGCCTGAGGCCCTGGTGAACGGGGGCCACCAGCCGTCAGAGCGTGGGTGTCCCAGCCATAGCTCCCTCGTCAGCTCAATAGAGAAGGACCTGCAGGACATCATGGACTCACTGGTGCTGGAGGAGCCGGCATCCCCTGGCATCCAGAAGCCACCAGCCTGCGGCCAGTCCCCCCTCTCCCCTGTGGTGAACGGAGGTGGACGCTGCCTCCTGTCCCCTCCATCCAGCCCCGGCGCCGCCTCGGGAGGCTCCAGCTATGAGAACTTCTCTCCGCTGTCCTCCCCAGCCAGCAGCAGCAGCTACACCAGCCCCTCGCTCAGCAGCCAGGAGCAGGGGCCACCCGTGCCCCCCCTTGTCCCGCTCCGCTCCTCCAGCTACAACCACACTGTGCAGCCACCCACCCTGCCCAGTGGGAGTCCCACTGAGCCTTGGCCTGTTGAGAGGCTCAGCGACCATCGGGCAGGCAGTCCCCGGCTGACACCCAGGGTGGCACCGCGGCCACGGGTGGCCCTGCAGGAGAGGCCCCCGAGCCCCTTCCGTGAACTGCGGGACTCCCTGGTGCCCAGCCGACAGGCTTCGAGCAGGGCAGTCCCAGAGGCCCGACTGCAGCCCCCTGAGAGCCCACGGCTGGCTCGGAGGAACATGGAGAGCATGCGGGAGCTGCCCCCCCTGAGCCCCTCCTTGTCACGCCGGGCCACCAGTTCCCGGGCAGCTCCTGATGCCCCCTTCCCACAGGCCCGGCTGGGCAGGGAGGTGCCTGGCAGTCCCCGTGCAAGGCTCAAGGGCTCGGAAGAGTCGAGAGGTGCTGGGAGCCCCTCGCCCCCACTGCTGGCAGAGACCTCCACACGCCGCCCCAGCTTTGGCACTTGCCTGAGCCCAATGTATGGGCTGAGCTCACCGGCTGTGCCCTCGCCCCATCAGAGCCCCCGTGCCCCCAGGAAGCCTTTGGGGGACCCACGGCTGCCCGTGGGGCCACGAGAGCGCAAGAACAGCATCACTGAGATCAGTGACAACGAGGATGAGCTACTGGAGTACCACCGGCGGCAGCGGCAGGAGCGAGTTCGGGAGCAGGAGATGGAACGCCTGGTGAGCCTTGGGGTGGAAGGGGGGGACACATTTGAGTGTGGGAAGCCCTCTTTGCAAACACCTTTTGTTATTTGCTACTTTAAAACCCAGCCCTTGCCTCTCGGGGATTTGCTGCAGCTGCCAGGCTGCTGACTTATCTGAGGGGATTATGGCCAGCAGCAGCCATGGGTGCTCAGAAGCTCTATGGGACTACAAAGCCCCCAACTTGCAGCAGCCCAGGGAAGTTACTGGGGTCGGCACGGTTCTGGGGCTGCCATCAAGAGCCAGTGGTGCCCCTGGCTTTGCAAAACTATCCATATGTTGTCCATCCCTGCCAGGGCCAGTCTGCTGGCAGCAGTGCTGTGGCTCTTGTGGGTATTGCGTCTATATTTAGGGCCAAGGGAGGTTTTTATGGAGCTGGCAGCTGCCTGGGTGGGGTTTGCCCGTGTCTCTGCTGGTCCTGGAGGCTGAGCCGCCAGTGCTCTGTTTGCTCAGCCCTGACTCACGCCCAGCGCGGGTAGCTTGAGTCACCGACTGGAAATAGCAGAGGTGTTCAGCGGCCGGTACTGCTGCCTGTAATTAGTCCGTGTCCAGCTCCTGGCACATCGTGTGCCTGGATCTTGTGGGGGGTTTGGGGAGGCTGCATCATGCATTGTGTTGTCCCCAGCCCATCCCAGCATGCAGCAGGGCAAGGAGTGAGCCCATATCCTGGTGCCCACCATCAGCACGGAGTGCCACGGGCTCTGGCCGTGACACGTGCTGGGACAGGTGCCATGCTAATGGCTCTCCCCCACAGGAGCGGCAGCGCCTGGAGACCATCCTGAACCTCTGTGCTGAGTACACCAAGACGGACAGCACTGAGCCGGGTGACGTGCCCCAGCTCCTGGCTGGTGATGTGGATGCTGGCCGGCGGGTGCCCAGGGGTGCCGTGCCTCTGGGTCGTGCAGCTGAGGAGCTACGGCAGAGGGAGAGCCTGGTGAGATCAGATGAGGAGAACTTGAAGGAGGAGTGCAGTAGCACCGAGAGCACCCACCATGAGGTAAGGGGACAGCTGTGTCACGCTGTGCTGTGCCATGCTGCACCATGTCATGCCAACCAGCCCTCTCCACAGCACGAGGAGTTGACGGGACCCCGGGCCAAAGAGGCGCAGCGGCTGGAGGAGGAGCGTGCCAGCGTCCTTGGCCGCCTGGACCAGCTGAAGGGCCGTGTCAAGGAGCTGGAGCAGCAGCTGCAGGAGACATCACGAGAGGTGAGGAGTCAGTGGACGCTGCCAGGTCCCCTGCTGCTTCCTGCCCTCACCAGTCAGTGCTGAATTCCATGGGCATGAGCCAGATCTAGCTGGGGCAGCCATCCTGATGTGGCTGTGCCTGTCCAGGCAGAGATGGAGCGGGCGCTGCTGCAGGGTGAGCGGGAGTCAGAGGCGGCACGGCTGCAGCAGGAGCAGGAAGCAGTGCAACAGCTGCAGGAGAAGCTCTCCAGCCTGGATGCCAGCATCCGCAAGGAGCGGGACAAGGTGAGCCTCACTGCAGGTTTGCACTGTCACCATCTGCGTCTTACCCTCCCTGGCAGTTGCAGCCAGTGCCATGATGTCCCAAGCTGCAGTGTTCCCCTGTAGACATATTCTCCAGACCTTGGGCTCCACACAGGCTTTGAGGAGCAGCCCCTCTGGTTTGTGTTGTGGGGAGATCTGTCTGTCTGTCAATCTCCCTGGGGCTGGTCCAACAGCCCTGCCAGAGGAGAACTGGGCTGATGCTTGGGGAGTTTTTCAACTGCTGCCTGTTGCGCTGGCAGGGTCTGGCAGGGAGACTTGTGGGGGGCTTTCCAGGTGGCTGCTGCCCGTGGTGGGCAGTGCTGAAGTGGGGGCCTTGGTGTTGCCCATTCCCTGCCCTTGCTGGGGAACTGCATCTTGTGGCAAGATGCCTTACTCAGCTGCATATGCACAAGTGAAGGCAGCTGCTGCTGTGGTGTTCAGCTCGCTGGAGATGGCTGGGAAACCACTGCAGGTGTTTAATTCATCTCGGTGTCTGAGGAGGATGTCCTGGCCCCCTTTTCCTGGAGTCATCTGTGGTGCAGTTACTGCCTGAAGCACCCATGCCACTGCGTGTTCCATATGCTTGTCCCAGCTGCTGGTTGCTGGCCATCCCACAGTGTTGCAGGCAGTGTGGCATGACCTTGGGTAAGCTGCTCTGCAGCAGGAGAGCTGCTGGAATCCAGCTCCCTGCTGCCTGAGGCCAGCGGTCCTGTGCAGTCTGTACCTGGGTCCCATTGGCAGCTCTGTGCCACCATGATGTGGCACCAGCGTCCCTGGAGCCCTGGCTGGCCCTATGGCTGTGGGTAGTGGGGCTGTCAGGGTGTCTGTGGCCCTGCAGAGCAGCCATCAGCACCTGCCACCAGTACCCCCACAGTGTTTGGGGGTTTTGTTCTGATTTTGGTCTTCCAGTGCTTTGTAGGCATCTTCTGTAGCCAGGGACAGCCTTGTGCAGAGCCAGAAGAGGACAGGGAAATCCCCATCCCATCCTCTCTGCTGACCTGAGTGCCTGCTTTCCTAACCCATCTGCACTACTCACACTAACAGTGCCTGCTCCAAACTCTGCCATCACCTCTGGCGTCTCTGCATGCCCAGGAGCCCCTAGGCACCCTACAGCCCCTCTTGTGAGGCACCTGCCTGTGCCAGCCCAGCCTCCCCACCAGTGTGCCCCCTTATAGCCCTTTTGATGCAACCCCCATCTCCGTGTGGAGCATTGTTCCTTGCAGCAAGCATTTCCCAATGCCAGGTCCCCTCATGGTGCTGCAGGAGGTGGTGCCCCTAGACCAGCCCCTTGTTGCTGGCCACATTTTACTGCTTCTGTGGCCGTGGGAGGCAGGGTTGGGGTCAATTTCCCCTCATTTCAGGCCCAGGAGCAAGTGTTTGCTCTACTGCTGACTTGACATAGCCTGAACCACGGCTGGACCTCAGCCTCCTGTTTTCACTGCTGCCCTGTGGGCAGCCCTCTCCTGCTGATGGATGAGTGTGATCCATGCCCTCAGGCTGCATTCAGGACCTTCAGTGCTTTAACTGGCAGCATTTCAATGGTGAGCAGCACTTAACAAAGCCAGTTAGTGGTAGTTCGGAGGGTGCATGTGGTGCAGCTGTGTGCAGGATCAGGATGACTTTATCCATGCTATCAGCATTGATCTTTTTGCTGCCTGTAAGTTTGTTTTTGGAAACACAGGGCTGAGGTTGAGGGCTGGCTGTAACCGCTCTAACACTCTGTGGCCCCAGCTCCTATGTCTGTTGTTCTCTTTCGCGATGCTCCCTCCCCCTCCCCCTGGCCCTTCTGTAGCCACCCCAATGCTCCTCTCACTCTTGCTCTAACTCACAGCTTCTGCATGGCGTCCATCTGAGTAGTGTGTTTTCTCTTTTCTTTCTTTCTCTTTTTCCTTTTTCTTTTCTTTTTTTTTTTTTTTTGTTTGTTTTTTCTCGTTCTCCCCTGATTCAGGAAAGGGCAAAGATTGATGCTGAAAGGAAGGAGCTAGAGCAACTCCGGGCGCTTTACCATGAGTCGAAGAGTCACCTTGATAAGTGCCCCGAGTCAATGCGGGAACAGTTGCGGGAGCAGATGCGAAGGGTCAGTGTCTCCCCCCACCCCTCCCGGACCATGGCCCACCTCCCTCCGCTCCAACTTAGGCCAGCTCTTCCCTGCCAGCCGGGGCTGCACTGGGAGCATCACACCCGGGCTGGAGGCAGCTGGCACCGGGCACCACCGTCCTGGTAAGCTTGCTGCTCGCCCGGGCCCGGGGCGCAGGGGTGGCTCAGCAGAGCTACTCGGGACCGGGCAGGGCACGAGCACAGACCCTGCCCTGCAAAGGAGGGCAGGCTGGGGAGCCTTGGGGACCACCACATCCTCGTCTGGCTGCCTCCTGCCATTTCCTGAGAGTGTTTACTTACACAGCACTGTCAGTTTATGTTACTGCTAGTGCGCAGAGTTTTTTCCCGTTATCTGGTATTTTCCGGGAGCAGTTGACTTTCCTCAGCCCATGGCTAGTGCCTGCCCAGCTAAAGCCCCATTGCCACAGCCTGCTCTGGGCAGGCACTCCCATGCTGGTTGTGGGTTGGGTGTGTGGCAGGCAGGGGTGGCGATGGAGCGGTCCTGGTGTATGAAAGCCCTCAGTAGCCACCATGCCAGCACTGTGCCATGAGAGCACCGGCTGCCTGGCTCCTGGAGCAGGGTGAAACATGTTGCCACAGGGTACGCGGTGCAATGGCTGCCAGGGTGGCACAGGCAGGCCCTGAGCTGAGTGCTCCCATGTGCTGCTCGTGCGTGAAGGCTGGGAGGACACGCAGGAGTTTGTCCAGTACGGTGCTTGTCTGTGAGGGCTCTGTTGCCCGCTGGCTCGGTGATGCAGGGATGCATGTTTGTGGTTATGCTGGCACATGGTGTTTTGCTGCCTGTCAGGGCATGGCTCCAACCCAGATGTGGTTCAGCAGGGTAAGCTGGTCTCCAAGGGCTAGGTGAAGCCCCTGTCTCTGGTGAGCTTCTCATCTCATGGGGGTGATTGCTCTGTCCTGGCCAGTTCTGGGTTCCTCCATTGCCATCTCCTGTGGAAGACACTCCTGGCAATGTCTCCCATGTTTCCGATGCCCTGCAGAAGGCAAAGCTGCCTGCCTGCCCACACCAGGGACATTGGACAGGCTTGGCCACGAGCTCTTGTTCCTGACCAGCACCAGCAGGATGTAGGGGCATGCAGGAGGTTTTGCTGTGGGATGCTTGCCTGCAGGATGAGAGGTGCCCATCCAGAGGGACTGATCCACTGTTCCCTTGTGTGTCTAAAGGAGGCAGAGGCACTGGAGACAGAGGCCAAGCTGTTTGAGGACCTGGAGTTCCAGCAGCTGGAGCGTGAGAGCCGCCTCGAAGAGGAGCGTGAAGCACGGGGCCAGCAGCTCCTACAGAGCCGGGCCGAGTGCAACCGCAGCATTGCCCGCAGGAAGGTAGGGGCAGAGGGGGCAGTTGGTCTGTCACAGCCAGGCTGTGTCCCATGGCTCGCTGGCAGCCAGCTCATCCCTGCTGCCTGCTCCCCAGGAGCGGGTGGCTGCCCTGGATGCCCAAGCTGCCCAGATTCGGCTGCAGAGTGCCCAGGAGGCCGAGCGACTGACCAGGGAGCGGAGTGGCACCCTGCAGCTCCTGCAGAAGGTAATGCCAGGATCAGGGGCCTGACAGGGGCTCCCTGACCCTGATTGTGCCAACTCTTGCCAGAGTGCTGGCAGGAAGGGTGAGCTTGGGAGGGGAGCAGCCATGGGGTGCCCATAACCATCAGCAGCTGTCTCTGCTCTCACTGTCACCTTGTGCACAGGAGAAGGAGAAGCTCATGTCTCTGGAGAGGCGATACCAGCTCGTCACAGGTGGCAAGAGCTTCCCCAAAATGTCCTCCGCTCTCAGAGAAGTAAGTGGGCAGAGGGGGCTACGGTGCCTAGGGCTGTTCTCCTGAGCCACTGTCGCCAGTGGGGATGAGCCTTGTGCACCACAAGCTCTGCTCTGCAATGGCTCCCAAGCACCCTCTGGCCAGAGCCAGGCACTCCCGGCCACTCAGTCTCTCTATGGGCTGTAGAGTTTAGGAGGGAAGGAGGGAAATGCAACAGGGCAGCACGTGGGCCAGCACTGCTTCAGGTCCCACCCTTGCTGGAGAGCAAGTATGGGGGTGTTTTGGTGCTACCACAGGGGACTTTTAGGTGGGAATGAGTCACTCTGTTGCCCTGCTCATGGCTCTGAACGGGGAGCCAGAACCAGGATGCCCTTGGGAGCTGCAGTGCTGCCAGACCTGCTGCTGGGAAGAGGGGCAGGATGGCAGAGTCCCCTTGTGCCTGCCTGCAGTGGGACTCCTGGTGCTGCCACCTTGCTTCCTGTGCCCACCTTGCCTACACGATTTTTACCCTCCAACAGGAGACCCTCCATATCTCAGAGCCATATGAGCTATTGGAGGGAACTAAGTCCTTGAGCCCCCTGCCAGCAGCAGCTGCCTCCTTAGCTTCTCCTGCCACCTGCTCCTACCCCAAGGCACAAGAGGTAACTAACTAGCGGGACTAACTGCATGTGCTTGCTCGCTTGCCCCTCCTTGGCAGAGCCTCCTTTCATAGAGTAACGTCACCCTCAGTCAGCAGGGCAGCCCAGCAGCAGCATGGCTGGGGCATTTCTCATTTAGCTCTCTGGCAGCTGTGCTCATTAACACTCAGTTGCTGATTCCAGGTGCTCTCCTGAGCCCAACGAGCATCCCAGTTCCCACTGCTGACCTTGGTTTTAACCCCGGTGTGGCTCTGTGGGGCACAGGCATCCTTGTGCTTCCCCTTGCCCACCAGTTACCCTCTGGTTGGGCACCTCCTGGCAGCATTCTGTAGGGTCCTGCTAGCCTGACTTCCCTAAAATAAGAGCAAGTCGCAGGCTTTAGCATGTTTGGTTCAGAAAGGATGGGGAAGTGGATTTTCAGCTGGCTCAGTGCAGCTTGAGGTGCCTCATCTAGTACTCTCGGGAAGGCTTGTGGCCAGGGGCCCTGGGGGACCCTGAGGTCTCTCCCCAGCAGGCACTCAGCAGAGCTGTGCTGAAGGCAGGAACATGGTGGATGCCAGCACACCCACCCCAGCTTGGGCACCACACTCTGTGCACTGGGGCTGCCGTGGGCAGCTGGGCAGGCAGTCTTGGGTCATGCATGCACAGGGAGGTTTGCTCCCACTTTTCAGTCAGTGCCATAATGCCAGCACATGAGTCTAATTCTCCTCCTTCTCCCTCGCCGTGGATTTCTAGGAGTACATGAGGCTGTCTGACGTTTTCAGGTTCTGCAGCAATGCTCATGGCCCCAGCCTGGACACTAAAGCTTCTGCTGCTGCCCCTGCTGCTGCTCAGCGCTCTTTCTTGCTTGCTGTACCTCCAGCAGCCGACGAGGTACACGCCCCAGACCATGCTCGGGTTTGCTCCCTTGGGTTGCCCGCTGCATCCCAGGTCAGGGGACTTGTCCGGCTGCAGCTGAAGGGGGAGCAGAGGCTCGAGCTGCCTGGTCTCCTTGCCAGGGTGCACTTCTTGCCTGCTCTGGATGTGGTGGCAGCAGGGCCGGGGAGCAGAGCAGGTGCCCAGCAGAGTGGGAGGGTGGCCCTTTGTCTGTTGGATCCAGTCCTGGCCACTGGTCCCAAGCAAGGAGGATGCAAAGCAGGTGGGGACCTGACCTGGTGCCCAGCACCAGGATAGCAGCAGCACCAACTTCTCTTCCTCCTGTGACATGGTGCCTTCCTTTGGGGGGCTGGAGCTGCCTGTTCATTCCTCTGTGCCTGCTTGCCCTTGCTTTTCTCCTGGTTTAATATGCTTCTCTCTGCCCAGTACGTGACTGTTGAGCAACTCTCAGGCATCCTGGGCAGCCTCCACACCCCTGCTGCTTCCTTGCTGGGCTGCACCCCTCCGGCCCTTTCATCCTCCGGCTGCACTCCTCCTCTTCAATCTCTCTCTTCTCCCTTCATCTCTGCAGAGGTTTGTGTCCTGTTTCCCTCCCTTTGGCCCCTTGTCCTCTCCCTGGGAGGTGCTGGGGATGCATGGGAAGGAGAGAACTGTGGATGAAGCTGAACAGCAGCTAAGGCTCTTGACAGCCCACACACCCCTTGTTGTCCTGTCTGCTGCTTCACTGCCCATGAGGCAGATCAGGGGGGTCTTTCTGCTTGGTCAGCTCTCTTGAGCAGCAGAGGGCTCCTACAGCTGCTGGGACTTAGCCAGGGAGTGCACGGGATCCCTGGGGGTCTGCATGTCAAATTCTGGGGGAGTGGTGCAGGCACAAGCAGAGATGCTACAGCCTTTTGTCTGTGCATCTGTCCCTCTTGCTGCATTTGTCCTTCATCCTTTCTCACGTGGCCTCTCTCTCCAGATGGAGCAGCAGCTGCCGGGAGGCCCCGCGTGCCTCCCGGCTCTTGATTTAGAGAAATGGTACCAGGAGGTCATGGCTGGCTTTGAAACCTCCTCTTGCCCTGTCTCTTCTCCTTCTTCCCCTCCTCCACTTCCAGCTAAAGCTCACTCCTCTCACAAGGCTCTCCAGGTAATCCTGGCTCCCTCTTGCCAAGGCTCAGGCTTTGGGACTGCTGGCCGTGGCGGGAGCGGGGTAATGTGGGGATGTTGCTGTGGACCCTTGCACCCTGAGTGCTGCCAGGCTCCTGCCTGCTGCCATGGGCAGGGGCAGAGCAGACCTTCTGCCTGGGGCAGGCAGCCCCTGCTTCTTACTGCCTGCAGCCCTGCCAGAATGGCACTGACATGAGGCAGGATCTGGGGAAGGGATGCTCAGCCCTGCTTACAGATGAGCCATCTGTCCGGGGGGGCTTTTGCGGTCCCCCATGTCCCTCTCACCTCCATGTCTCTGTGCTCAGGTCTATCGTGCAAAAACAGAGGGTGACGCTGGTGTCCCCAGCCCTCGGATGAAGAGTGGGACCCCCTCGTCCTCACAGCTAAACCTCTCTGTGCTGGGGCGCAGCCCCTCGCCCAAGGTACAGCTGCCAGGGGGACCCGGGCACCCTGGCCATGGGTCACATGCTCCTGGTGCCAGGCCCCGTCCCCATCCTTGCAACTGATCCCCTGCTGTCCTGCCCAGGGCCCCCCGAGCCCAGCGGGCAGCCTGCCCCGCAACCTGGCGGCCACGCTGCAGGACATCGAGACCAAGCGCCAGCTGGCCCTGCAGCAGAAGGGTGAGCTCTGGCTCTGCATCCCAGCTCTGAGGGGTGGTGGGACTTTTTGAAATGCTACCCCCACTGCCATTTGGGCAATGGAGAAGGGAGCCCGGCCAAGGGTGGGAACAGCAGCAGCAGCACTCTGGTGGGATGCAGTGCCTCTCTCACAGTCTCTTGCTCTTCCCCCCCTCTCCTCCTCCTGACCCCTCCGCCCGACGGCGTGTCTCCAGCCAAGCTGCTCCCAACAGAGCCCTTGCAGCCGGGTGATTTACCAGGTAGAGATGTGAGGCAACTTGGAGTGCCTGGAGCAGCCTGGAGGCAGCAGCATGGCTGTTTGCTGGCACCTTCTGCCATGCATAAGAGTGGCATGACTAGCCCAGGACCCCAGGTGCCTCTCAGCATCTGCTTAGGGACAGCCCCGTGCATCCCTAACGCGCTAATGCTTTGCCCAGCCTGCTCCTGCCAGCCTGGTGCATGTGCCCCCTTGACTGTCCAGGCCCCCTCCTCCCGCCTGGACAGATTGCCGTGCTTGCCAGAGAGTTATGATGGCAGCTCCCATCTCTGCCGCTACCATCCCTACCTGGCTCCAGCAGTGCCTGTGGTGTCTTCTGCCTGTGCCACCCCCTCGCCCACTGTAGTGCGTCTCTGAATGTGGCATGCCTAACTCAACATCATGATCCATCCTCCCGTGGCACAGGTCAGCAGGTGATTGAGGAGCAGAAGCGACGTCTCGCGGAGCTGAAGCAAAAAGCGGCTGCTGAGGCGCAGTCCCAGTGGGAAGCCCTGCATGGGCAGCCCCCCTTTCCCACTGCCTTCCCCCGGCTCGTGCATCACTCCATCCTCCACCACCACCGTTCCCATGGCGCTGGGCCCCGGGCTGAGGAGCTGGACCATGCATATGACACCCTTAGCCTGGAGAGCTCAGACAGCATGGAGACCAGCATCTCTACTGGCAACAACTCTGCCTGCTCACCTGACAACATCTCCAGGTAACCCTGGGGCCAGCTCCTGCAGCTGGGGTACAGCCTGCTCTGGTGGCATGCTGCTGGCTCGAGGTCCTTCCTGCTGCAGCAGCACCTGCGTCTGTCTTACAGTGCCAGCGGGATGGAGACAGGTAAGATTGAGGAGATGGAGAAGATGCTGAAGGAGGCACATGCTGAGAAGTCCCGGCTGATGGAATCCCGGGTGAGTGGGACCTTACTGGCACTGCGGCTGGATGGGGAGCGGGTCCTCAGTCCTTGGGGCTGAGCTCCTGTGTGTGCCGGCAGGAGCGGGAGATGGAACTGCGCCGGCAAGCGCTGGAGGACGAGCGCCGGCGCCGGGAGCAGCTGGAACGCCGGCTGCAGGATGAGACTGCGCGGCGGCAGAAGCTGGTGGAGAAGGAGGTCAAGCTGCGGGAGAAGCACTTCTCGCAGGTGCGAGGCAGGCTGCCACCCTCCAGCAGCCTTGCCAGGGAGGAACACCTGGCTCCCAGGGTCCCAGTGTGGGGACATAGCTCTCGTTGCCACTGGTGGGCTTTGCAGGGCTGTGTTGCTTTTCCAGGCTCGTCCCCTGACACGGTACCTCCCCATCCGCAAGGAGGATTTCAACCTGCGGCTGCACATTGAGTCCTCGGGCCACAGTGTGGACACCTGCTACCACGTCATCCTGACTGAGAAGATGTGCAAGGGCTACCTGGTCAAGATGGGGGGCAAGATCAAGTCTTGGAAGAAGCGCTGGTTTGTCTTTGACCGCATGAAGCGCACCCTCTCCTACTACATGGGTGAGTCCCTGTGCTGCCCAGCGCCCCCTCCCAATACCATAACCCCCAGTCCACAACACTTCTCTCTCTCTCTCGGGCAGATAAACACGAGACAAAGCTGAAGGGTGTCATCTACTTCCAAGCTATCGAAGAGGTTTACTACGACCACCTCCGCAGTGCTGCAAAGGTGGGAGCTGGGCACTAGTGTCTGCTGGGAGGCCCTGGAGGCATCCCTATCCTCCCACATTGCCCTCTGACAAGTGCACAGGGAGCAGCAGGGCAACTCCTGCTGGTGCTCATGGAGTGGTCCATGGCCTCTGATGGAGCCAGTTCCTTGGGGTGCCAAGGGCAGGACCCCAGTGCTAGGCTTTGGGAGGGGGGCATAGCAGGGAATGCTGTTGTTCAGAGGGGGCCAGAGCACTGATCCCATCCTACTCCCCTCCAGAGCCCCAACCCTGCGCTCACTTTCTGTGTCAAGACCCACGACCGTCTCTACTTCATGGTGGCACCCTCGGCCGAAGCCATGCGCATCTGGATGGATGTCATTGTCACCGGGGCAGAGGGGTACACCCAGTTCATGAACTGAGGGGGGGTGCTGTGCACCCCAGATCCACCACTTGGATGGACTCTTGAGGATCCCAAGCAGTGAGGAGCTTCTGCAGGGGCCACAGCCCCTGCTGCACCCTGTGCCAAGGGGTGTGCACGCCATAGCAGTGGAGCTACACTTGGCCCATGCTGGGTGGCACTGAGCATTGCCTGCTCAGCCAAGGGAGTAAGATTTTTTATGTTGACTTTTTAAAAACAACATTTATTTGAAAAAGTGCTCAAATGTAACAAGCTGCCAAAGAACTGCCAGGGCTTGAGCTTTCTGCCATGGGGAGGTGCTGGATTTGAGGCAGACACTGATAGTTGCCACAGTGTTCCAGGGAGGGACTGTGAGGCCCCCAGCTGGCTAGGACCCCCACTGAGGAAGACCCAGACCCCTCTTTGTAAACCTTTTGTAACTCCGGATCGGTGTCCCTCTTCTCCCGACCGTGCCGTGGCCGGATGGGGATTGTAGGGCTGCCCAGCCATAAAGCATTTCACAAACAAGGCTGAGCCCCTCTGTGTGGCCTCTGGCCTGGCAGCATCCAGACCAGAGCCTTCCATGGACGGGGGAACCTGGGGTGAGCTGAGGGGCTCGGGATCGGACGTGGGAGCCGGTGGGGCCCGCAGGAAGTTGCAGGAGGCATCGGCGGGGAACCGATCGGGAACAGCGGGACGGCTGGGGGCGGTGCCGCGATGCCGAACCGAGCCGAGCCGCAGCGGGGGCGGGGCAGGGGAAGAGGCGTGGTCTGGGGGGCTCGGCCGCCAGGGGGCGCGCACGGCGCGAGCGGCTCTCACGTGGCGCTGTTTCCGCGCGCCAAAAGCGGCAACGGGGCCCAATGGGGCCAATGGGGCCAATGGGGCCAATGGGGCCAATGGGGCCAATGGGGCCAATGGGGCCAATGGGGCCAATGGGGCCAATGGGGCCAATGGGGCCAATGGGGCCAATGGGGCCAATGGGCACGCGGCCCCCTCCCGTGACCACTTCCGACTTCCCTCGACGTGGCCCAATGGGCGCGCGCGCGCCGTGGGATTGGCGCGCGAGGCCGGAGCCGCCGAATGCGCCAATCAGCGCGCGCCGCGTGCAGGCGGGGGCGGGGCGAGGCGGCGGGGCCGGCGCGGCGGGGGCGGCTCCGCGCGCCGGGCCGGGCCCAACCGAGCCGGGCCCAGTGCAGCCCAGCCGGGCCGAGTCCAGCCCAGCCCAGCTCAGCCGGGCCCACTGCAGCCCAGCACAGCCCAGCCGGGCCGAGTCCAGCCCAGCACAGCCCAGCACAGCACAGCCCAGCACAGCCGGGCCCACTGCAGCCCAACCGACCGGTGCCGAGCATGGCGCGGGTGCCCGGCCGGGCGCTGCCCTGGCTGCTGCTCCTCCTGTGCCTTCTGCCCGCCTCAGGTACGTGCGGGGCCGTGCGGGGCAGCGCGGGGGGTGGCGGCGGGGGAGCAGCGGCCGGTGCTTCGGTGCCGCCCCAGCGCCCTGACTGGGCTCACCCCTTGCCGGCCGCCGCACCGGGGGCAGGGTCTCACCGAGGGCTTGTCTGCAGAACTGGTGGCCGTCATGTCGGTGGACGTGGGCAGCGAGTCGATGAAGATCGCCATCGTGAAGCCCGGGGTGCCCATGGAGATCGTGCTGAACAAGTGAGCGGATGTTCCAGCGTCCCGAGCTCCGCCGCGGGAGCCGTACGGGGGGCGGGGGGTCCCGGTCTGTCCTACCAGGGCTGGATCCCGGGGGTGAAGGTGACTGGAGCTTAGCCATCCCTCCCTATTTCTCTGCTGCCGGAGGGACGCTCCCATCCTCACATGGGAGCCGCCCCCGGTGAGCATCTGTGGGGCATCGTCCAGGACATCCTGGGGGGCTCGGGGGTGCTTTGGGCAGCTTTCCAGCGAGTGCCGAAAGCCCACGTGGTTACGGACACGTTGTGGTGTGAACCCAAAAGGGCACAGGTCACATTCTCACCTGTCCCCTGATTCTCAGTTCCCCACAAGGCAGCCCGGAACCAGGTTTGTTTTGCTGCAGCTGTTTGGAGCCCATACTTGTTGAGAAGCAGGTGAAGCTTTCCCTGCACTCAGCTGCTCCTGCAGCTCATCCCCAAGACCCTGAGTGAAGAACCTGTGTTTGGAAGAGGGCACGTGATCAGGAACATCCTCGTTTTCGGGGAGACTAGAGATAACAAGTAGGTTTCTCACCTGACAATTGGCAGTCATAGCATGAATGAGGGAACTGTCTTGCCTTGGAGAAAAACAAAAAAAATGAGTGTCCCCAAAGCACTGAAGGTGGCAGGTGGGCTTCTCTGCCAGTTCCTCAGCTGAGCAGAGACTGGACCTTCTCTCCCCAGCAGGTATCCGAGCACCTTCCCTTAGTCCTTCTGGAATGGGAACAACATCCTTCCTCACTGGAGACTGTGTGGAATGTTCACCTGTTTCAGCTGGTTTATTCCTCTCTCCACAGGGAATCACGAAGGAAAACACCCGTGGCTGTTTCTTTGAAGGAGAACGAGCGTCTCTTTGGCGACAGTGCGCTGGGGATGGTAAGAGTTCCTGTCCACAGAACACTGGTATTCAAGGTTGTGATGAATGTTTGAGGCAGGGAATTTTAGTGTTGTTCTGTTCTGCTCATCTCCTTGATGTGTTACTTGCTCTGTGTACTGGCTGTGTGCTCCTACTCCCATAGCAAGAGTTGCTCCCCACACAGCCTGGGAGGGGTTTGTTTGAGACTGGTGTAGCCAAAGGAATGCAGGTGGGTGATGTGCTTTTTTTTTTCTGCAGTCCATAAGGACACCTAAGGTGGCATTCCGGTACTTCCAGGATCTTCTGGGGAAACAAATGAATAACCCCCACGTGGCGATGTACCAGTCCCGCTTCCCAGAGCATGAGCTGGTGAAGGATGAGACAAGGCAGACCGTTATCTTCAAGCTGTCCCCGTAAGTGACTGCTTTTGGGTTCTTTGTGGGAGGGACTTTGGCTGCTAGGCTTCTGCAGCTCACTGTTGATGCCGTAATTTTCTTTCCCATTGTAGAACAATACAGTATTCTCCTGAGGAGATGCTGGGGATGGTCCTGAACTATTCACGTGGTCTGGCTGAGGAATTTGCAGGTTGGAAGGATTTAGCTGTTTCTTACAGTCTGTGTGTGTCCGCGTGTGTGTTTGTGCATTGTAGGATTCAAGTAGATACCAAAGGTGTTTGGAAGCTCAGGGGTTTTTAGAAACAGGATGTGGAGTCTGTCCAGCTGTAGGCTATAAGCAAGACTATGCAGTTGTCGTTCGTTTCTAATATGACACAGGGTTGGGAACTTATTCCTGTTTCGGTGGGCAGGCACCCCAGTTTCCACCCAGCCTTGTGGTGAAGGAGCCTGACAGGCAGTCTCTGGAGAAAAGTGAACTGTTTCCTCTCTCAAAGAGTGTGATCAGAGCGGAGGCACGCAGGAAGGTAGCTGCAGGGGAGGGTGGAAGTGGCCCTGTGAAGGCTGTGCTGTGTCTGCTCTGGATGGAGACTGCTGCTGGAGCTGGAACTACAAATAAAGAGCAAAAAAGGCTCTGTGCTACGAAACTTGCTAACAGAGAAGAAGCTGCCATACATATTTATGCTGTGTTGCTAATGAAATACCACAGTAATGAAAACTGGGTAAATTATTAGGAGGCTGTGTCGTGTAGTCAGTGACACTACAGCCAGTCCAAGGACTTTTTACTGTAGAGTGAACATGATCCAGTGGTAATGTAAGGCTTCATGAAGATACTATTTGTTGAAATTGAAGGCAGCCTAGAGGATTTGAGAGTATCTTGACCTGTGAAAGCGAGGTCAGTAGACACGTGGCTTTGTGAGAATGTGCCAGGTCTCCTTGGTTTCAGCAGGACACAGAGATTCATCCCTAGGCATCCTCCTGCTGCTGTAGGATTGCATCCTGTACAAGTCTTTACCTTGGGTCCTCTGGCTTTGCTGCTGTCACCCTGTCACAAGTTTTGCATGTGACTGACTGATGAATAAATGTGTTCCATGCAACTCTTTCAGAGCAGCCCATCAAGGATGTGGTGATCACAGTTCCTGCCTACTTCAACCAGGCAGAGAGGAGGGCGGTTCTGCACGCTGCTCGCATGGCTGACCTCAAGGTGCTGCAGCTCATCAACGACAACACGGCTGTAGCACTCAACTATGGGGTCTTTAGGAGGAAAGACATCAATGCCACTGCACAGGTAGGTGCTGCTGGGAGATGCGGAGAGCCCTACTGAGTGCCTGCACACAGGGGAGAAAGTGCTGCAGAGAATATCCAAAGAACTTAAGGCAGACTCTGCTGGTCAACCAGTCTCCTCTGTTTTCACATGTTCATCAACAAGACAAAGAGGTTAAAAACCCTGTGTACATGTGTGGTGAAGCCTAAGAGCTTCTAGAGTGAGGGCAGGTGCTGGGAGTTCCTGTTTTGTAAAACCTGTGTTTGTTCCTTGCCCATGAACTAGGGGAAATAACAGTAATGATTACTTGAGGTTTTGAGACACCGACTCGGAAGTACTTGATTTTCCTGAGGTTGGAGAAACTTTTAAAGAGTAAAGATTTGTTTTTTGAGCTATGAAATAGATGAGAAAAGTTTTCTTGTCCTTTTCTGTCAAATGTGACTCTAAACATCTCCTGTGTTTGGTCTGAGTCTTGCCCTTACAGTGTAAAGCCTGTCCAGGAGTGGATAGTCATGGCTTGTATCATGCTGAAATCCGTGGGTTCTTCCCTTATTCATGTGGGATATTCAGGTGTTTCTGCTTCACTGTCCCAGCTTTTCTTTTCAGAATATCATGTTTTACGACATGGGAGCAGGAAGCACCATTTGTACTATTGTTACGTATCAGACAGTGAAAACTAAGGACTCGGGAACTCAACCTCAATTGCAGATCCAGGGCATTGGGTAAGAATTGTGCATGAGTTGCACAAACCCCACAGGTCTCAGGAAAGAAACCATTTGTTTCACAGTCTCTTCTATGTGTAGAATTTTGCAGTGAGGTTTCAGCACAGAAATTTGGATGGTTGAGTGGAAAACATTTGGAGCAAGAAAGCCCCATTTGGGAATAATTCTTGTGTTGTGCAGAAGGTAACTGAGAACTTCCATGAGCCTAGGAGGGAACTAGTGTACTTAGTTTGCTTCAAGCTTGCTTTTTGATAGCCTCAAACCATGTAAGCCTGTTCCATTTCATGTGATCTTATAGAAGTACAGTGTGTCAGTTTGAAAAAGAGGAATATCCTTGTAGAGAGGAATGAACGCGTTGCCAAGCAAAGAGGGGAGTGCTGTGCATAGCCAGCCCAGCAATTTTAACTCCAAAGCATTTATATTGCTTTTCTAAGAAAATATCTGAGACAGTTGTCCTTTGGCTTCTTAGCTGTTTTATATGATTGGCAATAGGGCTTTTATCACAAATGTAATGAAATTTCCTGCTCAAAGGCTGTTGTGATGGCGAATCTTCTTTCTTTCCTTCTAATGTGTTACTTTTGGGGCAGCCATTGTTCTTTCACAGTCAATCACAGCTCATAA